TGGTGGCAAAGACTGATGATAAGTACCATCGTATTTTATGTATTTAAGTATTTATTAAATTTATATAATTTCCCTCACACTGAGGAGACTCTGGGCAGACTTTTGAAATAATATAATTATAATTCACTTTTTAAGGAAGCCAGAGGTTAACTAAGGAATTTTGGACGTTGTGTGGATTTGGGCTGGGTAACTTTCTATGTGGCCGAAAGTCATTTTTTTAGTTTCAAAATCTTTTTTCACTCTGTAAGAATGATTTTGTTGTGGCCATGGTGACAAAACCAAAACTTGTCCAACTGAAATTTTCAAACTTCCATTAATGTGCATCTGCATAGACCTGTGTGTTTGGTTCATCCATGGAGCTAAAGGATAGATGATAAGTACTGTACTTCAGGGCTTTTCAACCAGTGGTACGGGTACCACCTGTGGTACATTGGCACCTGGAAGGTGGTACGCAACCATCCTAGAAAAGTGGTAGCGGGGGAGGGGAATGAGCTGAACTGGTGGCAGCACCGCACAAGCCTGAACGAGAGATGGCTGGAGCTGCAGGGCTGTCAGGGCTCAGTGGAAGCGCCAGGATCAGCGCCAGGCTCCAGCTGGATCTCAGCACTGATCCTGGCGCTTCTGCTGAGCCCAGAAGAAGCGCCAATCAGCTGGAATGTTGCAGCATCTCCAGGGTCTTGTGATTTACTTTCAGATGTTTGGCAACTGATTCATGTTTATGACGGACACAGTGTCCCAGGGTCATGTGAAGTGACCAAAACTTGATGCAGCCACCCAGCAGATGGGGGGGGGGGAATAAAAACCAAACACCCGCCACCCCACCTCCGCTGCCAATCCTCACAACCATGAAAACCTCGGACAGCAGGAAGAGTGCCGCCGGGTGGGCAGGCAGGTGTCTTGCTCGGCTGTGCCTTGGGGGGCACTTTTTTCAGTGCCATTGTAACTTCGAACAGTCACTAAGCGAATTGTTGTAAGTCGAGGACTACCTGTACTTTATCACTTTTTTCCTTTTTTGGGGGGGGGGGTTCGTCAGGTTTTTGACACCTTGCTAGGCGACTGGTGGTACTCGGATATTGCCATATCCTAAAAGTGGTACAATGGGTGAAAAGGTTGAAAAGCCCTGCTGTACTTGACTCTCATAGAATTTCACCTCTGTTTTTTGCTTCTTAGTATAAAATACATAAGAAATAATTGCATGAGTGAAAGTCAGTTGGTTTGTCATAAGTAGGCAACATAATCCAGGAATAGAAGGAACAGAAAATTGTGGTAGTACTGCAAAAAACCTGCAGTAACCTGCAAAAAAAAGGAAAAAAAAAGACTCACCCCCACCCCAAACTGAGACATTGGTAATGTTTTCTGCAGAAAATAATGCTGAGGAA